TCCCACCATTATGGGCGTGTTCGAACTATTTCAGCCCAGAACATCTATCTGTACACCACACATTTTTTACGTTGCAAATAGGGTACTCAAAGGCTTACGCCTATTTCCCTCAATAAACTGAACTGAACTGAACTGAAAAATCACAAGTCTGTTCACGGGCAAGTCACCGAGTTTCCTTATGCCTTAGAATCTGCCTATGGGCCCAACGCGACACCTGGTTCTCCACGTGGATTTGCGTGTGCTCTCCATTCATCCGGTCAGCCCTTCTCTGCGGTTACAAATGATGGATTGCGGGCGTACTAGACGAAAGGAAACTCGAGGTGTTTGAGCACAATTGCCTGAAGAACGTTCTTCTGGCAAGACACACTGAACATAGCTCAAATATTGCAATGCTCACTCGCCATGACAATGTTGCGAGCTTATCCGAGGCTATAAAAGAAAGATGCCTGAGGTGGCGTCGGTACCTTCTTCGCCGTTCGCCGCACAAGACCAGACTTGTCGCACTCGATTCGGCGCCATAACCAGATTCGAGACCTGGAATGGGGGTTAACCAAAATCTAGCTCGACACAGTTTACTAAAATGGAATTGATAAATGGATCTTTGGCATTCGGTATCCGTTGCTGGAGAAGAGAATAGGTCTAACATTCATGGTATCTATCTCATAACGTAATGTATGTAACGGTACAGTCGTTTGCATGAATGAGGCCAGTTAAATTAGACATGATCTCACCCTATTGACGTATGAATACAAGTCCTCCCGTTGGTATGTATGACAGATTATTGTTAAGAGAAGGTCGCTCGAGCATATGCAAATGTGCTGGATTTGTTAATTTTCAAGAAAAGACGAAGCAAAACCCGTCATAACGACGCGCTGATGTGGCTCATTCTGTTCGAAAATACTGGCGACAGTGCGCGTGCTAGGAAATTGATCCGAATATCGGACAACAAATATATATTTTGGAGCCCTTCCGAAAGTAAATATATTTCAGTCTTAGACTACTTGCTATGAAATGACGATTTTCGTCAATTAAATGACTACTACTTTATGACAAACCACTTGCGGTTCTTCGGTGCAAACGTCACTGTTCCCCTCCCTGCCCACTGCTCTCACTTTGGCATGATAGCAGACATTTAGCATCGCATCGAACGCGGTTTTATTCTACAAGTGGGAGGTGTCAAACTGATTGTTTTGCCCGGAAAACGGCAAACTGGATGAATTAAAACGGTACATCCCTAAATCCCTTCAATAGACAAGACTAAAAATAAAAGCTCAATGCACTAAGCGTTGTAATGTATCCCTGGGTAATGCGGTCTCCACACTGACCGTAGATTGACCATAGCTATACAGATACGATCATTTCCATACGCTGACATTAGACATCTTCATCTGAAAATTTACTCTCTGGATATTCGAAGACAATTTGGATGTGATTGATTTTAATTTAATTTACATCAAGATCGTCTCCGAGGCCGTTATCGGCCTTCTTGCACCACATGGGTTTGGCGTTGCGCACAGACCGGAGGCCGCCATGAGGCGTCAAGTGATGAGACCAAAAGACCCACTGCCACGACAAGAAACATCTCGAGTCGTTTACCGGATCTGGTGCTGTTGCGGACAAAGCAACTAGTCGGCGAAACTGGAAGACTGCTCCGGACGCGAATCGCCGAACAAGTGGCAGCTGTACGGAGAAATGACGCCAACTCTCAGGTCGCGGCCCATTCGACGAGACCCGGCCACACATTCAAGTTCGATGAGGCCGACATTCTCGCGAGAAGGGATAATCGCGTGAGCCGCTAGTTAATTGAGTCCTGGTTCACGGGACCTCAGTCTCTCAACAAGTGCAACGACATCCCCACTCCATATTCTTTCCTGAGGCATAGACTGGCCAAAACAATTGACCACTCGAGGAGCGCGCAAGCACGTGAGCCAGATGGCCGAGCAATAATCACGCCAGCATCCGACACGGGTGATGAGATGTCAGCAATTAACAACTTGCATGCTGGCCATCAAGCAATTAGCGCACCAGCGGGCAACAATCCTTGATGAAGGGAGCACGGTTAATTGGTGTAGGTATGCGGTAGCATGGCGACCGAATCCTATAAATACTGCGGCTTCCTGTACACTAGCCACCCTTTTCTGCAACTGTCTCTGATGATGGACTCAAGGGAGAATTCGAATCGTCAGGCGAATAAAGCCAGTGGTCCGGAGAGCGCTTCTTCTGATAAACTAGTTCCTGGAACTCGCATTTTCGCT